ATATACAGATCTTGTAATTGTAGGGGCGGATGTAAAAAAAAAGAGACATAAAATGTTTAAGATAACGTTTTAATAAGCACGTTTGCGAGAGGCAATACAAAAATGTACCGAAATACTGAAGACTCATCAGATAAGAATTACAGAAATAATTTTATTTTTTTTCCNTTTGTGGTTATTAATCCGAGTCTTGAAGGTAGGTAGGTGGTAGGGTGTGTTACCAGTTTGGATGTAAGAAGAAAATGTGGTTTACTAATGACATATGTTAAGTAAATTTATTATGATGGATTCACAGTAATTGTAAGGATAATAAGAAGAATAGTATGTTTTAAAATATATTGTATATATCCTTATGAAGCAGTTATTGGAATGGTAGATTAAAGTGAAAACAACCCACAGTTGAAGCTGCGGCGAAGGATTATGAGGCGAAGGTGCGAGCAAAGTTCCCCAATGTGGAATGGCCAACATTCGACCTCTTGCTGTTGGGCATGGGACCTGACGGGCATACAGCATCTCTCTTCCCTGGTAAGTGAGGGGGTAGTGCAACCATGTCGTTGGGAAATGGAGACAGAAACACTTTCATCAATATCAGTTATTTTGTCAAAAAGTTCAGTGGTGGTTCTTGGGGGGGGGTTGGGGGGGTGTAGAGGATAGAATAGATAAATTTATTGATTGTGATGATGATTGTAATGATATAATGATAATAGTAATTTTATTATCATCATTATCATCATCATTATCAACAACATCTTTATAGTGAACTTCTACTGAAGGCAAGGTTCTATATCAACTTTTGATAATGGTAGGTTGGTACAAAAGACAGAATGTTTCTGCTCTTACTTTTATTTACTGATCACAAGCACAACACTACCCAAATACAATCAAATACACTAGTCAGGGGCCCCACAACACAAGCACTCGCTAGGTATCTCAGAGGCTACCTATCGTATGACCAGTGTTGACCTCTCTGTGTGTGTTCTCTCTGACTCTCTTTGACCCTGTCTTACTGACTCCTCCTGATTGGTCGTGAGTCCTAGGTTTTATACATCATTGAGAGCATTGGCTCCTGCGCTGACACTGAGGCCACTCATCTAAGAAGGCCTGTCAATCATCTATCACTATTCCTAAACAAAAGGTCATTTAGAATCCAGTCAGGTGGCCTTCAGTTAGGTCGAGGTGTCTTCACTGCTATAATCTTCATTATTATTTTATTTTTTATTTTCATTGTCATTATTATTATAATTATTACTATTATTTCATGATGGTGATGATATTGAACCTAGCACAGCATTCCCCCAAAGCTTATATCACTGTGACCTCACATATTCAACAAACTGGCAAAGGTCAGTTTGCACAACATTGGACTAATCCTTTATTTGCCAGGGAGGTGCACAAAACTTGATCTTATGGGCATGTATATTATGGAGGTTAGTTGCCCCTTTACCTGAGCAGCAAAGTTATAGCAGCTAAGGAGAACACTTGGGTCACTACAAGTGTATCTTTGTTAAGCTATAATTAAGGCTGTTTGACTCTCAATAGATTGTTGATTATACTTAATCATGGTTTGCATGTCCGTGAAAATTATCATTTTAGTTTTTCTCAATGTCTGTGTAGTCATGCATACAAGATATGCCATTATGTTTCTCATTAGTACTATAGTTATTACATAGGATCTTCCATTCCCACCCCATCTAGAACCACCACTGGAAACCCGCTGTCCTCAAGTGAAGAGCACTGGTTGTTTCTTATGATAATACAGTAAAAGAGGTAGTTCCTCCTGGGCAAGATCTTACAAATAAATCATCATGATCCAAACAGTAAAATGACTTGAAAAAGGGAGATAGAAAAGAGCATTTTCCCAATGAGAAAGTATGCTACGAAGAATAATGAAGTCATAACTATTTATGAAGATTTAAACCAATAAAATAACTATGCAATAAAAAGATGGTGTAAGAAATATAGAGAAAGAGGAAAATTAAATGTTTTAGATAATAGTCAGGAATACGATCGTAAGGTGATAATGATTACCTGAAATATATTTATACGTTTATAGGCCACGCACTGCTGAAGGAGGACAAGCTGTGGATCGCACCCATCAGCGACTCCCCAAAGCCACCACCTTGCCGCGTGACCATGACTTTCCCGGTGATCAACAAAGCACGTTGTTGCATATTTGCAATGGCTGGACAAGGAAAAGCAGACATGGTGAAGGTGAGGCTCGATTAGAATTAAACATTGTTTGCATTGCATTATGATTATCGAGTGAGGGGTTAGCTGTTATGTTTTTCTTTTAGATTGTGTATATGCAAAACTTGATATGATAGTCTGTTACACATAAGCTGTATTTTAAAGTAACTTATAATTATTGCCTTTAGGTGGATTATACAGCTAGTAAAATGAAACTTTGATCCCATCTCCAAAAGTCAGTATCATCTAGTATAGTTTGCTGGTCTTAACATCTCTTTCCCTCTCCCCCTCTCCCTCCCTCTCACCCTCCTTCCCCCATCCCACTTTTCTTCTTCTCCCACCCTCACCCTTTCCCTCTCCCTCCTTCCCCATCCCACTTTCCTTTTCCTTCTCCCTTCTCTCCCTTTCCCCCTCCCTCCTTCTCCCTCCCTCTCTTCCTCTCTTCCTCTCTCCCTACTCCTCCCTCTAGCAACATTCCCACCAAGGTAACATAAGAACTAGAGTTTTTGTTCTGCACTGGCAGTAATTATTTCTGTCATCAGCAGAGCAAAGTGTAAGACGACTATTTATTAAGTCATGTGTTTGCTGTTTTTTTTTTTTTTTTTTTTCCCCCATAAAGTGTCCGGGATTATTTATCAGTTATTACCCAATGTGCTGTCTGTTTCTACTGTATGATTGCATTTTCAGCGTATCCTTGGAGACAGTGAAGCTCTGCCATCCGGAATGGTCAAACCTATTAATGGAGAACTCATTTGGATATTAGACGAAGGAGCCGCGTCTAAGCTCTAGAAGTTAGCATCAGATGGTAACTTCCGAGAAGAAAAGTGGTAAATGGTTCCGCAGTATTTTTTTGATCTCTTCATTAGTGACTAGTCTATTTTTTCTCTCTCTCTCTTTATCCTTCTCTCCTTTTTTTATATGAATACTTTTTTTATGAAATGTGTGATATGTTCCTCTTCATTATGAGATAATTATTTTGTATAAATTTTAAAAGGGGTAACTAATGGTAATGATCATATAATTTCCAGGTTAATATAGCATTCAATGTACATTTTATTTCTGTATTGATACTCATTATAGGGACCACATCCAAACAATTTATACTAGAACACTATATGTGACCTATAATTAACCAATTTAATTTTAAAATCTAAACATGTGATAGTAATGCCTTTTGTTGATATCAGAATAATTACACCTTAGAATTAAAGAAAATATTGTTGAGAATAAGATTTTTTTTATGCAAGGCTAAGAGAATCTGGTTGTAAAATTTATGATATGAGATTTCATTTATGATAATTTATTTATATATTTATTGTTACATTATTAGTAGTAATATTCATAATACTGTATATTATTTTTGTTATATACATAATTTTTCAGATTTATATTTAGACAGATAATGGTTTTAAAATTCACTTATTATTTTATGCAAATCCTTCTTTTTTTTTATCTCGATCTTTCTATTTCTTGTAAAGCATAAAAGCATTCAGCTGTTTATATTGTTATAAAGGTATACTGGATCATATATCTTATTATATAGGCTGAATGCAGGAGCTGAAGAACAATTTAGAATACTGAGGAAAAAAGGCATGACATAAATATATTTTTATAGTTATTTGTCTCAATTGCTGATTTGCTTTCCATTGATGTAAGGGCAAATGGCAGATTTTTTTTTTTTTTCTTTTTTCCTGTATCTAAAAAGGTGCTGGTGATGGTACACAACTATTGGCCGGAGACAGACAGTTTTGTACTTTTTATTTTTCATAAATTGAGAACTAAATATAGGAGTATTTATTAACCTGTTTAGGTCATTAGAAAGATATTCTTGGTAAAAATTTGATGATGTTAAATAATAGACATAGACGTTACTGTTTTCCAATTCTACAGCAATGACTTTCTTCTCTATCTCCTTCTCCTTCTTTATTTTGTTTACCCGCAAAAGCATCTCGAACCTAAGCAGATAAAAAGTGAAAGTCAAAATACAACTTCACGGTTTACTTATTATTTTTTGGTGCATTATTGTCAATACTAAGCTCTCAAAGATGGTAATTTAAAGGTGTTGATTAATATTTTTTGCCAATAAAGCTTTTAATATAGTAACATCACATAGTTGATACATAACATAATAAATGAACATACTTAAACATCAAATTTGATAGAAGAAAAGGGAAGAAAAGTTGTTGTCCTCATATAAAAATCTATATTCAGTACATAAATGGATAATGGTTAATGGTTAAAAACAAATAAATGTGCTGGAACATAAATGGATATTAATTCACATTTTTTGTATGGTAGTGACTTCTATAACTCTTTACTTGAATGGTGGACTGTTCTTGCGACACCATTGGTGCATAAGTAATACATCCTGAAATATGAGCATATATCCAATACTAAAAATAGTATGAAAAGTACAAAACCTATGACTAAACACTGTATGACTGTTTGGTAGAATTCAAATCGATCTATATGTGAGGGTATCCACATCTTTAAGTGGTTTAAAACCAATTGTCCAAACATGCATTAATCACGTGTTTTGTTGATTTAAGCTTTCGATTGTAACACAGACATTGATATGTTCATGTTGACGGACTGCCTTCATGATAGGGTATTAATGACTATCGTTTGGTTTGTTCAAATCGTGCAAGGCCGAACCTAATTAATATTCACATACAGATGTGCATATACAAAGAAATAAATGCACAGCAGTCTTTCTATCTGATAGATATATATTTGCCTTTCTATCTGTCCGATAAAAATGCATATCTTGATTGATAGATATATTTAATTCTGTGTATATATATGTTCGTACAGTGAATATTTATTGGGTCAAGTCTCACACAATTTTAACAAACCAGCTTTATATAAATTATTATGTTGCAGATAAAGGTTTAAACTTATAAAATATAGCATTTAATATAAGCATGTTTGTGCAATTGATCTGCAACAACTTTGGACATACATGCCTTCCTGTATTGTCAGTTTGCTGGGAGGAAAATGGTGCAGTGGTATTCATTCCAACATATAGAAAAATATAATAAAACAATAATAGTCCTAAATTACATTTCTAATAATCCTTTTTTGCTACCTAAACTTCTATCAAAATTCACCATATTTTAAGTCCTAATGAAGTTTGTGTGGACAATGATGTTTACAATCACAATTTCTAAAATGTTAAACAACAGTGATTTTCTTTTTTTTTTTTCTTTTTTGCTAGATCAGATTGAAATTCATCTATATCAATTTAACATCTATATTATACAGGAAACTATAATTTTTTTGAAAATATGTCCAGACTTATGTAACTCAGAATTGAGAGCAAATGAGTTTCGAACTAAAATAATGACTCATTACATATTAACCAAAACTCCTTTATGTTTTCAACAAAACATACAAAAGTAACATTTCTGAAGCAAGCATCAATAATAAATTGAAACTGTCAAATTTATATATAAATATCTTGGATATACAATGCCTTCCCAAAGCTCATGCTAGGTTTATTATAATATACCTTCATTATTATTATTGTAAAATATGTTAAGAATTTTGCATTCATTTTCTCTGGCTTTTTTACACTAAAAATGAGCATGTAGTATGTTAATACACGACAGACCAGTAGTAACTTAATAAATATTTATTATTAAAATCTCTGTTCACAATATATAACTTTGATAACTTTTGTACCAGAACATTAAAGGTACTATAAAACAGATATTAATCTCCATACTTACTGACAATAGATTAAAAATCTGTATCATGTAAAACAGAATTTTTACATCCATGGCAGCAAAAAGTCCTCATCATCAAGTCCACAGCTATTGAACTCCACTTCATCCCCAGCTTGACTCTGAAGCTCATCCTCAACTTTGGCTGCGGCACTTGCAAACTCTTCATCGGAGTCAAAATCATACGTGTTTGAGTTCTTCCGCACTCTTTGGTTTGCGAGGAAGGTTTCTGGGCAAAAGTTTGTCCTGCAATCGTCAAGGGATTTCTGTGAAGACTCGTCAAAGAAGGAACTGTTTGGAGACGATATGAGGGACAACCTATCCCAGGGGTTGCTTTTCTGAGAACTCTGCCGGCTCAGTGAAGACAGAGACATCTCGTCAATTTTATCCCACATCTCAAACTTTTTTACAGCAGTGTTCAACTTGGTGTCTGACAGATGCTCATTCTCAACCTCTGCAGCTGCCATGAGTAAAAGATTATTGTCATCCTCATTTTCAAACTCTGTGGCTGCCACATCCATTATATTATTATTATGCTCATTTTCGATCTGTGTGGCTGCCATGGTTAGAAGGCTGTTGTCCTCCTCATTGTCATCCCAAATGTCATCTTCACCATTTTGAGAGCCTTGAATCCATTCCATTACTTCTTCGTCTCCCATATTCTTCCAAAATACTGTCCACTCTGGAAGTGGAATGGGGTTTGACCGGTAGTCCTGGCAGTCCGAGTCATGGCATTTCTGATAATAAACAGCTAGCTTCAAGTTTGCAACGTACATTACCCCATTGCTCTTGTGTTCCCTACCTATGTTGTGGCAAAACCTATTATTGGCTATTTCATAAACTAGCAATTCACTTTGTGGGAAATAAAACCAGCAGCGGATGTAACCATGACCAAGGATGCTCTGGATGTACTTGTCTATCTCTGGGTAAGGAGAGTGGCTGAACCCTTCCATCCCTAGGCCTGCACCTTCTCTCTCCTTCTGCCTGCACTTCAGTCTCTTCATCCCATCATCTCCAAAAGTCAAGATTTTGGGGCTCTCCCTGACTGTTGTCACCAGAGAATCCAAGAAGAACAATTCCTCTGCAGAATCTCCTGTTTTTGTCAGTGGCACATACTGGTTCTCTGGAGCTATCACTAAAGGTGTATTTTTTCCTAATTTTGTTGAACGGAGAATTCGGAAGTTCCTGTTCTTTGTGTAAACTCCTTCATCACAAAATAGTACTTTGTTTCCCTTGGTATCTGTTACAAATAGAGTTTCCACATCACTGAATGTAAAGCCAGGCATTTCTTTCATGCCTTCCCTAGCCCAGGTTCTTATCTGATTGCAAATCATGATAACAAAATTTCCAACATGGATATTATTAGCAAAGGCCACACCTGGAATGTTGAAAATCAAATGACGGCTAAATTTTGCAAAAGAATGGCTAGTCAAGTCAATAATATTTTTGCGACTGCAGCTCACCCCAAACTCCTTCTGGAGAAAGTAGCATACAATCTTAATAAATGTGTTGGTCATCTTAACACCATCACTCTCAGGACTGTGCATGTACATGAACTCAAGGTCAAAGTAAAGCTTACATACAGAGTTCTCCTGGATGACCTCATATGTACACCTCTGAGTGGGGCTGCGCTCGCACTGATGGATCCACATCATCTTTGGGTGCGTCACCACAAAATTCCTCTTGCCCCCCTGCCCAAGCGCTTCCCCCTCAAAGGAGAACACCATGAGCCCGTTCCCCTGCACCTGGGCGAACTTGATGGCATCCGCTTGGCGACGAAAGGTCTTCCAGGTGGCGGGAGGACCCAGGATCCCAGGTCTGTACTCGCTTACTAGAGGTCTCTGTTTGAGGTGTTTTCTGGTCTTGGCAATGCGCAGCAGCACTCGGTCCCGTGACTGACCTTTGCCATAGAACCCTCTGGTAGTGAGGGGTTGTGTGCGTTCATTCCCTCCTTTTTCTTCTTCCTCCATGATTTCATTTAGACTTTTGCTTTTGAGAAAAAATCACTTGAAATCAGCATCTGTAAAAGAAGTCAGACAATTACTTTTCGTTCATATTAAGGAAGTAAATAACACTGTTGATAAAATATAAAGGCAGCATACTTTGCTACCAGAGTGTAGAATAGCGACATCAAATCTGACACGAAATATATTCATAAATTAAAAGTATAGCATATTTTTACTTCTATCTTTTTATCCTTTTAGTCAAAAAGACACTAGTTAGACATTTTCTTCTCATTCCTAGAATATTTTGGAGGCTCATATTTCTTTCTCAAGCAAGGACAATGATATTCTTGGAAATTGTAAGACATGCTTTAACCCGGGAAAATGGTGTGTTCCCTTTGGCAATGCTTGGTTAAATGTTTCTTCGCATAGATGGCTCTGCCAATGCTTAGTCACAAAGGAGTCAATTAGTAGATCTTACGACCTCACTTTTCCTTGAAAATGCGGGAAAACGCTTTTTTTTTTTACTTAATGCTATCAATATTGACATTGATATTTTTGTTTAAACATTATAATTACTATATTGTTACTGACATTATGAACAGCAGTATTAAATATTAGAAAATATTATCGAAAATCATGGAAAAGGGTAAACAGGTGAGACATTGTTCACATAATTGACTCATTGGTGACTTAGTACTTGTGAAGCCATCTATATATAAAAACAAATACTAAATTCAACACACAAAATGAGCAATGGCATGTACGTACATGCCATGCCCAGCGGCTTGAGGTTAATAGTATTTTAATCTACTAGGCTACTAGGCTACTATTTAGGCTACTACAAGTAAACAACATCCTGAATATTACAATGTATATCTTACTAACAAAAAAACGGTCAAATGCAGTCTAAAGAAACATATTATTTTAACCCACTGCTGTCAAAAAATAATGTTCACTTTAGTATTTTTTATGTAAAGTGTATCTGCACATACATGGCTCCACAAATGCTCAGCCACCAAGGGGTCAGGTAGCAGTTTATATGACCTGCTGATTTCACTCTTCCATGAGTTATCGCTATTTTTATGCTAATGCTTTTAATCTCGATGCTGTTATTGTAATTATTGACATTATAATTAATACAGTGTTATTAACAATACTAAAAGTAATATAGTGTACAATAAAATCCTTAATGCTCCTCTTAGGGGTTTAGAATCTTCATTACTGGCCATGGTGAGCCTGAATAAAATGCAGGAAAAGAAACAGTTTACTCCTCAGGGTCCCAATAAGGGGTATGGGCAATTAACCAAGGGAACCCCATGCCCATGGCTCCCAGAGGCCACTCATGACTGACACAAAGCCAGCCTCTCATCCTTTCAGAACAGCTCTCACAGAAGAAGGCAATGAAGATGAAGAAGAGGAAAGGGGAGACGACCATGCAAAATTAGTTGAGGCGAGGGCTGAGGCCCAAGGTAGGGGTGATCTCCTACATTGGGCCTCAGTCTCCGTCTCCTAAGCTCCCCCACAACAAAAACGAGCAAGGTATTGGGAGGGTTCACAATGGGTAAAATTTTGGATAAAGTATGGCAAGGCTGGGATAAATTAGTTCTTTGGCTCATGATCGGATGAGAGACCTGTCAACACTATGAGTGGGACATAGACTCCTGACTTGATAGAACATTACCCATCGTGAATGGGTGTTGAGTAATCTGCAATGCCTTTTACTTCTTAATGGAACCTTGGCTCTCAGCCTCTCATCATTCTTTCAGTGGTGTATTTGATACCTTAATTATAAGCAAACATATTCTTTGATATGATACCTAATGAGTATCAATATTAGTGTAAGAAGCTAAAGTTTCATGACGACCTGAAAGAGCTGACATGCATATGCCTTGAATCAAAGATGTATCATATGAACAAAAAAATACAGACAAGACTAAATCTATAGGCACTCAGACATTTAAGAGACATAATTTAAGACGTGAAACTAATATTGCATGATTACAACTGCAAGCTATTTAGGAAAAGTGCATGATGGAAAAACAAATATCTGTAAAAAAAAAAATAATAATAATAATAATTAAATCTTATTCTCATTTTATCTTTATTACATTATCTGTTCTTGGTGACTGAAATGTTTAAAATTATGTGTAACTTCTGACACTATCATCTCCTTAACTAAGATTAAAAAGGTAATTCAGTTCTTCACAATACTAATACAGTGTGCTGTGTAGTGCAGTGGTGAAAGTGCTGGTCTTGCAATCTTGCTGACCTGCGTTCGATCCTGCGCACTACCAGTGAATGGTAACCCCGGCCATTCCTTGCACACAGGGGGAGATTTAGAAGGCAAAATAAAACAGACAGTATGTCACAGCAAAGAATATCCATTGTAACAAATGGAATTGAAACTAAATCTTAATGATTTTTGTCTCTCTCCTTTAAGTCACCACCATCACACAAGTTTGTAATTACAATTTTATATCAGTAATAACTAGTTCATTTATGGAGTTTTAGATACCTATATTCCGAGGATCTATATGCCTCGTACTTTCTTTTTGTTCTTGTTGTTTTATTAAATGACACCTATCCAAACAAAAGATCAGAAATGATACTTCTATCCTGTCAATTCACACACAGACTGACAAGTTGGACCAATAAATATAGACAAGAAAATACGGGACCTTTCACACAGCTCCTCCTTAAATGTCACTCCCCAGATAGATATCAGACAGACTTCAAAAACTTACGCTATTCAAAAAACACAAAAAATAAAGCACTTGTATTATCTTCCCCAGCTATATGTACTAACTTGAATTTATGAAATATATTCCATCAAACAATTCTGTTGTTATTCGCTTTGAAATTCTAAAAGTTTATGGTCAAAATCAAGAATACACTTCAAACTTCTATATGCCGTACACCATGGTAAGGCACTACTTTCTAAAGCTAAATACTTGGTCTCTCATGCTACGAACTTCCAAACAACTTAAGTAACTGGGAAAGGAAGGCTATCTACATACTGGAAGAGAATGACATCTACACCCAAAGTCCCGAGTGTCAGCCCAGTGTCAGCCCCAAGCACATACAGAAGTTACAGAAGTTCGGGTCTTGAAATTTCCAAAATGGAACAATAGAGGGAGTATAATGAAGTTGATTACATTTACTCAACAAATTGTAAGACAGCTTTTGAGGTTTGTGAGCCTTACAAATATTGGGACTTGTATGGGAGACAACCTTATAAATGACAGCCCTATGACATTAAGCCAAAGTAAGATTGAAACTCCTCCATGGTATTTTCATTCACTCTTACAAAGAGAGAGAGAGAGAGAGAACAGAGAAAGAACAGACAGAGACAGAGACAGACACAGACAGACAGACACAGACACAGAGACGACACTGACAGACATTGACATTGACATAGACATAGACATAGAGAGAGAATAGTAGAGAAAGTGAAAGAGAGAGAGGAGAGAGAGAGAAAGATATGGGAGAGAGAGAGAAAAGAAGAGAAAGAGAGAGAGAGAGAGGGAGAGAGAAAGAGAGAAGAAGAGAGAGAGAGAGAGAGAGAGAGAGAGAGAGAGAGAGAGAGAGAGAGAGAGAGAGAGAGAGAGAGAAGAGAGAGAGAGAGAGAGAGAGAGAGAGAGAGAGAGAGAGAGAAGAAGAAAGAGAGAGAGAGAAGAAAGAAAGAAAGAAAGAAAGAAAGAAAGAAAGAAAGAAAGAAAGAAAGAAAGAAAGAAAGAAAGAAAGATAAAGAAAGAGAAAGAAAGAAAGAAAGAAGAGAGAAGACAGACAGACAGACAGACAGACAGACAGACAGACAGTTTTTTACTTGGGAATTCTACAACCTAGAAAACTTTGTACCTGATTTTGACTTTGGGCATATATCTTAATCATGGCAGGTGGTATATTTTCAGTGGTATTTTTTTTTCTGTTATTTGTGTTATGGTTTTTTATTCATGTGTATAAGACTGTTGTTATATGGTGGTATAATGTAATTTCTAATTAGTCTGCTTGTCTATCATACCTCTTTATCATTTTATTTATTTATTTATTTTCTTTTTCTTTTTTCTTATCCGGGAAGAGATCTACATATTGAGGAAAAATTGTAACATATGGACATCTGTACTTTTTAATGAATTTCGTGATTTTTCAGTTTTTCAGTCTTTTATTTTTTATTATTACTGACTACTTCTTTAATGATTTTACCTGTGCCTGAAACTTCAACAAGTCCTATTATACATTTCCGAAATTCTGATTTAATCATGTACTATTTCATCACAAGGGTCTGTTCAAATTAGATATTGCATATCTGACAATTAAATTACCATTAAATTAATTAGTATTTAATCTTGAATCAATCGTGCTTGCCTGTTAGCTGTCCCGAGTGACTGAAGTTCCGCGAAGTTGCTGTCAACTTTTTTGTTTTTATATTTTCATTTTTCTTTCTTGAACTGCGCAGCAAAGGTTTTTTCGCCCTTTTCTTCCCTCAGTCTATCTAGATACGAAGAGTTCTCCGTTCTCTGTCTATCTCTTCCCAAAAAGTAATTTCTTCTCGCTTCTTTTGCAGGGTTTTAAACGATAATTCACCAGAAATTGGCCGCAGGTCGTGTTCGAGATTTGTAAACATGAAAGTTCCGCCTTCGGCCTCCATTTTCTAAAAGCGACGGGTGTTGAATCAAGTGTTTATTTTCTTTGTCAAGTTATCTTTTTCAAAAAATATATTCACTTGATATTCTAGAATTTAGAGTTTTTTATTCTGATAATATCATAATGGATAGAATAGGACATTTTTTTATTATTGAAAACATATCGGTATAACCTTGACCTTCTTGACGCTTGGTGTAAATTCGAGTTGAACGTAAAATAACTAGATAGCTATTTGTAAATAGAAAAGACTATGTTAATATCCCAGAAAATGCGAATTATTACAATATTAACAAAACACATTAAAAGATATCGAATGAGTTCCTCTTAAGGAAATGAAATAGGGTTTATGCGCCGTTGCGAACGCCGCTTCATGTAAACAGACGCATCTTTTCGGAGAAGGAGCGTGTTCTTCGTCTCAAATTCCTCGCCTTCTTTACTCTCCTCTCGCGGCTTCATAACTATGAGTCGCATCCCTAACCCGTTCCTTGGTGGTCAGGGACAGCAACAGAAGACGCCACAGAAAGCTCCAACTCCTGGATTCTTGCTAATGACTAGACCACCGACGGGGTCGAACAGCTATGGGGGCAACGCGTCTGCGGGATTCAAAGACCAGTACTCGCCCTCGAACACGAGTCCGTCGCGAGCCGCAGAGAGTTTTATCCCCTTCTCGGCGATCGGTAGCAATCATGATGGCAATAGACGTGGGGGAAACCGAGGTGGTGGTGGGAGTGGCAGATACAACCGAGGAGGTGGAAGACACATGACAAACCAGACCCCACAGAGGTTCCCTTATCCATACCAGCAGAATGCAGGAAGAATGCCCAGTCCGTATTGCCAGGGAGGCCAAGGGTACGGGAATTCGCCGAGAGGGAGGCAGAATCATGGAAATCAGCGTGGGGGCCGGTTCGGTGGCGATCACAACAGGTTCAATTCAAATAACGGCAACAATCCAAGAAGAATGCATGCAAATACCCCCTTAAGTGACGTCCCAATTGATAAATTTGTGTCGCCTAGTATGGTAAAAGATCCATGGGAGCATTTTGAGAGTGATGAAGCTATAGAACCTGAGCCTTGTCCGGTTATAACTTTAGATAATTCGGAAATTATAATTGATTCCGACACAAGTGTAGTTATTGAAAATTCTTACGAAGAGGGTGTGAGTGGGACTGAGGGTGACAGTTCACCAGTACATGACACTGGAAGCGATTCTCCTTACGTTGCTACATCATCAACCTCGGAAAAGGATACGGGAAGTGATACAGCAAGTGATGCATAGCAAAATCTTCTGGCTTTGTCTCAGAGATATGGGCTAGGTGTTTGTGCAGTTCTAGATATGTATATATATGTTGTCCTCCCCCCCCCCCCCAAGTTATTTCTTTCAAATATCTTTTATTGTAATTAAGGATCTTTATTTCAAGTAATACTCATATCCCAATCAAAGCAATATCTTAACTCTCATATGAATGAGTATAAAGTTCAACATCTGTATGGGACCTTTTTTTCTTTGTCTTTTTTTTCCTAGTTTTAAAGAGTGGTTTATGAACGAGGAATAAGTTACAACACTTGAAAGCGTAACAAATGGAAAGAATAATATATTCTGTGACTTTTTCAGAGATGTAGTGCATTGTAGATTTATTAGTTGGCAGTCTTCTTAAAGGTTGCTTTTTCTCTCCTTTTTTTCATACTCTCTTTTTTTCTTTATTTTTGGACACCTTGTTTTACGACTAACACTAGCCTCATTAATGTTAAAAGTACAAAACGTATCAACAAAATGTACAAAGCAATCAATCAGTTCATAAGCTATAGATTTCTACAGTTTTATGAATTTTCATGTTAATCTAAAATTATTATTTTTTCTCTTTTTTTTTTCTTCTTTTTTTACCATTTGTCTATGTTGCCATACACTTTCCTAGCAGGTTTTTACACTTTTGGCTTCTCAAGTAGTTTTCAAATGAGCATTTCAAGACTGTAGGTGAATTACAGCATTGTAAGGTTTTAGATATTTTGTACCTTTAAATACTTGGATGTTAATGACTGGAATATTTGAACTTGACATTTCTTACAACAGTGTTACATTTGTAAATGTAAAACCATTGAAAGGAGGTATTTAAGATTATTATTTTGTTGGTCTTCAACAGGTAGTATTGATTAGATGTAAAATGTGAGAATATGTTTGTTATGTGTATGCTGTAGAGGAATATGCTTTTTCATCATGAACACTTTTTATTGTATTGATGTCTTCTGGAATGATTGTTAAGAACAATAATTATATCTGACTATTTTGAAAGGTTTATTATTATGAAGCAGGCTGTTTGTGTTTAATGTGCTTATGCAAAGTAAAATAGATAACTTGAAGGAGGTTATTACAGACTGAAAAAAATGTGTTCTTATTCATATTGATATAATGCATTCTTTTCTTGTTTTCAAAAGTTATTAGGCTTTGTGTACTAATGGCAGTGTGTGGGATAGTTCAGGTTTCCATTTATATCTTAGTAATTATTTTCATTATAGCTATCTACTGACATTATTCATGCTTAGGCATATTGTTATGTTTATAAATGTAACATGGAAATTATTGTACAAAGTTTTATGCTATTCTGTATATTTTTAAAAAGACTGTTCTCTAGATTTGTGAATGAATTGAATTTTTAATAATGTGAGTGCATGATGAAATTGGGCCCAAGATTCCATACCCTTTTTTTTCTCTCTCTCTTCTTTTCTCTTCTTTGCCTTGGGTGTTCAAATGATCCGGTGAGACACCAGCAGTTGTTTATGTAAACATCCTCGAAGCATTTCTTGCAAAAGGGATGGGGATGTCTCGGTAAAAGGAGAGCCTGGTTTTCTTTTGCTTTGCCAAGGGCAGCATTGTAGGGAAGAAAGATATTTATTAAAGGGAATGTCCTCTAGATTTTCAGTTTTTAATTTCTATCTTTAGTATTCCTTCTATAAAATACACAGATCATTTCTGAGATATCTTTTAGCAATTCTTTGCTTCTGCTTATTCTTATAATCACTTTTTTCCTCTTCTTCTTCACTATTTCACAACAGGCTGTGGAAGCTTTTGGACATTTGTGGAGAATTAGATAAGAAAGTCCTTTTGAAATGGTGTGAAAATTGGATTCATAAGCTGTTTGGATGATATGTGTTTAGATGAGCATTAGATATTTCAAAGGTAAATTGCCAATTAATCCATAATTTACAAAGGACAAACAAGTCATAATGTTGTGGACTCATTCGACGATAAGATTAAAACATTTTGTTCATATTTTCAAGCAATTCTTCACAGGATTTTTTTTTTTTTTCATGTAGCAAGACCACATTTATGAAAAAAATACTTCATTTTAATGTGAAAAATATATAGAAAAAGTGGTATTCAATTACCTCATTGATAGATGTTGTGGCAGTAGGGATAATAAGCTTTTAAAGAGAGAGAATCATTATTAAAGCTTGGATAATAAAAATTGGTAAAATATACACTTCATCATTCTGTCTCATACACCCACATGCATACACTTTGATAAAACACACAAACACACATGCATGCACACACACACACACACACACACACACACACACACACACACACACACACACACACACACACACACACACACACACACACACACACGCACACATGCACACACCAACACATTTACACACATACGTACACATTCTCGCCCGCACGCGCATGCTAGCGTGTAGTTTGGGTTTTCTCCGTGTTTTCAAGGCATCGCAGGAGCTCAATTACAGAACTCCTATGATCAAAAAGGTTTCAAACAGTCGTACCACAGAAACAGTGATTGTCAATTGCAAACAACCTTGGACCTAAATGAAATTATATAAAAAAAATGGGTTCTCTCTGGATTTTGGTATTTGAAAGCAGAAAATTGTTACGTTAAGTTGTATTAGTTACCGGCAATGAAAATGGGAGACGCAACTAGGAGGAAGATATCACTGTTTACGTGGTATTTATTGATCTTTAAATTTTAAAAATAGCTTTCTGTTAATTGAAGGAGTAGATAAAATGCTTTATTTATTTATGGTTATGTGATTTATTTCAGTATGAATGATTAACCATCAAAGCATTTTAAAAGTGTTTGGAATGATGATGATGATAATTAAAAAGAAAAAAAAAACATGGTGTCTTTTGAACGTTCTCTCTTTCTATACACTTAAAGATATTGCTTATTGTCAGTGTCATTTTGTTTCCATTAGATTTTACTGTCGTTAAATTTAGTGATTTACATCAAATTTATATAAATATTTTTGTTGCATCTCTTCAGAATCTTTGCAGTGTAGTAGTGATAAATGTTGAGTAAATACACTTTATATATTTGTAGTGAAATAATTGGAATAGCATTGTTTACAGTAGAATCAAATGATGATTTACCAAAGATTGTTATTTATTGTGTATTTCATGTATTTCAGATACATGCAGTTCTCTCTCTCTCTCTCTCTCTCTCTCTCTCTCTCTCTCTCTCTCTCTCCTCTCACTCTCTCTCTCTCCTCTCTCTCTCTCTCGTCTCTCTCTCATTCCTCTCTCTCTCTCATTCCTCTCTCTCTCTCATTTCTCTCTCTCTCTCTCTCTCTCTCTCTCTCTCTCTCTCTCTCTCTCTCTCTCTCTCTCTCTCTCTCTCTCTCTCTCTCTCTCTCTCTCTCTCTCTCTCTCTCTTCTCTCTTCTCTCTCTCTCTCTCTCTCTCTCTCTCTTTCCCTCTCACTCTTTTCTCCTCTCTCTTCTTTCTCTTGTCTTGTCTTCTTCTCTCTCTTCTCTTCTCTTCTCTTCTCTTCTCTCTCTCTCTTCTCTCTCTCTTTCTCTCTCTCTCTTCTCTTCTCTCTCTTCTCTCTCTCTCTTTCTTCTTCTCTTCTCTCTCTCTTCTTTCTCTCTTCTCTTTCTCTCTCTCTTCTCTTCTCTTCTCTTCTCTTTCTTCTCTCTCTCTCTATCTTCTCCTCTCTCCTCTCTCCTCTCTCCTCTCTCTTCTCTCTCTCTCTCTCTCTCTCTC